TCAACTCAATATTGATTCCATACCCCGTCGCTCCCTTAACAAAATTATCCAAGGCCCTTCATATCTTTACTTTGTTATGCGACAGACCGCCCAAATATTTTGGCATATTAACGACCTATTCCTCCTCACCTGGCCGCACGCGCAGAGCTGGTATCACTTCTCTGGTAACGCCATCAGCTTTCTAATGCATATCAACAAGTGAGGTGCTATCATCGCAGGGGTTTAGAGAATCCCTAACAAACCCGTCAATATGGTTCTCAGGTTTAAGACATTACCTCCGTTCCTTATATGGGAATGCCGGACCCTTAGGTGTTTCGCAGGCTCCAGTATACCCCCTGGAGCACTTTCAACAGCAAAGTTACGCGCAGCAGTTCTGCAAGTAAACTTGACAGTCTGGCTAAAAATAACATTATATAAAAGACGGGAAAGAGGTATCTGGTATGAAAAGGACCTCTAGAAGAGAAATAAGGGAAGTTAGGGAAAACGGACAGGGGAGGAGAGAGTGAGGATAAGCGATCTGGTTTAAACTGAGAAGTAAGAAGCGAGAAATGAGTCCTTTCTGTCCTTCGCCCAGCATAGCGGCCAGACTTCCAGAGTGTTTTGGATCCGTCCTACCTATTATACCTCACCATGCAATACCGCCATTATCGCGGAATTCGCGGTTCGCCTAAATTACCGCGGCGGAGGTGGAGGATAAAGCGATAACGAGGGGTGCTGGTAGCAATATGTGCGAGGGTAAGACCACCGTCGCGCTTATTAAAAAATTCCGGAGTGAAAGCTCTAGCCCGAGGATAGGGCGTGGACGAGGTGAAGCGCGTGCCCGAGTTGAGCCTGCGAGGCACATTGTTACCAGGGACTAATTTCGGGTGTCAGTGATGTAGGAATTGGATAGCGGGCCAGCAGGTGAAATACCGCGTTTTCTAAGGAGTACCGTCATGGGCTAGGTATGTTCAAATAAGATTTTTATCATTGTTTTGTCTCGGAGATGCAATAAAACGCCGCATCCTAACTCCTTATAGCCAGGACCAAACCTTCCGTGTCTCTGATTCCGGGGCAATTGTAAGTCACAAGAGCCGCTTCTTATTTCGACGCAAAGGCGTTTGCCGGTTCTCGCCAGTTGGTGGGTAGTGAGGTCAGAGGTCGACAGAGTTTAGTAGTCGCGGCTTCTGTACCGGAGGAAAATCGTGCGATGCCATCTCAACTCAGCCGCACATGGACAGGTCCGACGGAGCAAGGTTGTTGATGGGTTGGATAAGGTCTTGGATGCTGACTAAGAAAACCATGGAGAATTTCTGCGCATTTTTCTTGGTCATTGAGCGAGGGTCCATCAACCCATATTTGGTGAATAGCCGAAATGCGATTCCCGTCCAAAATGTCCCTTCTTGCTGTTGGAAATACTGCGTGGCATGCTCTCCCTTCCCACTACCCCCCCCTTCCCCTTTGCCTTTGCCCTCTATTCCCCAATCCTCCTATCCCCCCATTTCCCCATTTCCCCATTCCCCTGCCCTCTATCCCTTTGCTTGATTGTTTATCTTTTCGGTAGGAGCACTCGGCGTGAGTGCTCGGCGACAGTGTGGGAGTACTTGGTGGTAGCGTACGGCGGGGGAAGGGGAAGCAAGAAGGAGAGGTGCACGCGAGAGAGCGTACGGTGGAGAACCGCGGGAGATAGCGCACGGCGGAAAGGCGCGCAGCGGGGAGAGCGCGGGAAAGCGCAGGGAAATGGAGCGCGGACGAGGGCGGCGGAAGGGCGCACGGCGGAAGCGCAAGTTTGTCTTTTTTTTTCTTTGTTAGCTTTTCTTGTTTGCGAGTATAGGGGGGGGGGGACTTACCTAGGGGGGGGGTGGAGACTATGGTTTGCCAGTATCGCTTGTGGTTCCTATATACTCCTGTCATTTCCATTAGTTAGTTAGTTGAGAGTGCGATAGTTAGGGGGAGTGAGTGTGTAAAAGAGAAAAGTTTTTTGAGTTGTGCGATCCCTTTCCGTGAATAAGCTTGGCGTTGTTTCGTTTCACAGCTGGTCACTCGCTTAGTTCCGATTGGCCCGTTGCCACGAGATCCCTGTTCGTTCGCGGCTCATTCAAAACTTGCTGCCTTCCGATGTGTCCCACCACAGCTTTTACACTCAGTATGAGTTCCCCAACTGACGAGCGCGGAGGCGAGGTTTTCGATAGTAATTTATGTGGTCAGTGTTCGCAAGGGGACGCAAGCCGCGATGCTTACCTGCTGATAGCCCATTCAGTAAGTGTATATCGCTCGGTCAAGATACCGGTAGGTCGAAGCGAGATTCACCCCAGCTTTGTAAGCGTGGCTTTCCCAGAGCCTATACAGGTTTTATGCGTGCCTGGCTGTGGACCCTGACATGTCCAAAGTAGTGAGCATGTATTTTGGCGGCAGTTATCGGAAGATACCATCATGTACTGTCATATACCAACCGCGCTCTACCCATATTTCCAAAAATCCGCCCACGCAATGAAATACCTGAAGCTAACTTCACACACGAAGACAGTGAGCAAGTTAAATGAGTAGGGAAAATAGACTGATTCTGACCCAGCTCATATCACCCGGCATACTCCTGGCCTAGAAGGTGTGTAAGTATAGGTTACCCACATGCTGGCGGTTGTTCCATGATAACAGTGGTTTTCTCCGGCCATTTCAGTATTATCCCGAACCCCGAATCCGTTTTCCTCCTAGCCTCTCCTTAGCCTCCAGTTGTACAGTAGAAAGTACTCGAGCTCACTTCATAGCAACTCACCATCGGAAACAGTTTTGTTTTACCTTAATTGCCCGGTTGGGCACAGCTACTTAGGTGAGCACATGAACTTACACTCCAAATTTACACCAAGACCTACGCTTGGGGGTATTTCAACCATAACCCCTGCAACCAAATCATCGAAATAAAACATAAGAAATAGTAATGTATCACCTGTTGTAACTCTCCAATCTATGTTAATACATACAACATATTCCAAAAGCTGCCGGAATATGGGTAACGATACCGGGCCACTCATGGCCCTGGGGATACTTGTACTCCGGCTAGCCGGCTCCCTGAGAAAAAAAAGAGAGCCCCGGTGAGGTGGGCCGGGCCCCAAAGTCCGTCCTGTTGCGGGCACTGGGTATCGTAGAATGTCTTGGGCCCTACAGCTTTCTCATTGACCTTGGGAGCGCGCCCGGAGGTGGTTTCCCACTCCATCGCAATCCCCCTCCTTACCAGCAAAGTTCACCAGGTTACCCATAACTAGTCAAATTTTCTGTCTGGATATGGTTCGTGGACAGCTCCGTGCCCGCCCACTACACGGTAGAACACTGGCTCTGACCATTCATACTTTACCCACTATCGCGGTGGCATCCCGGGGCTCTAGATAGTGGGTGAGGGGGTTGGCTGGTCTGTAGTGCTCACGATAAAGCACTTCCTCGGTCCTGGGAGGGGGGAGTGGACAGATTGTGTTTGGTAGTGTGTTTTGTCAAGGGGGGGATTTGGCCAGGTCTTTAGCTAGAGTACGGAGGTGACGACCACTTTGCGCGGGTTGTTTTAGCGACTTGGAATGCAAGGTCACAAAGTATTTACTGGGACAGGCGCCGGCAAGTAAGATATAGAATTCTGGAGGTAACTTTGGCCGTCGTTTCGCACCTACAACTCCAAGGGATGACTGATGTCGGCATTGACTAGCCAGTGACTTTGTATGATTCAGCTAGGTACAGAAGTGGCTGCTCTGATCTTAAGGGGTAAGGGCACAAGAGATAACTCGCAATGAAAATAAACAACGGTAAAGGCCTCAAATGCCACGGAGGATTTGACAGCTAAGGTTAGATTATCAGAATGTTTATTTTTAACTATAGTACAGTCGATTACAAATACTAAGATTAAAGATGGGTTGCAAATACAGATAAATAAATCCATAACTTAAAGTAAAACCAGGAGACCAGGAATATAAATACTCGTTATGTGACATATGGCAAGTGGCTGAAGCGTGCCTTGTGGTATAACACGTCGAGCATCGATGCTGTGAGCAGGTTGGAATTTCTGGAAGTACCCCGTTCCGAACAGCAATCTGTTGCCTTCGGTGGACCTCCTCAACACTTCTACGCTCTTTCCTGGGTCTTCCATGTGGTTTCCTGGTAACTGGTGGTTCGACATGGTTCGCAACTGGTACAAGGCCGTGTATGGGTTCACCAGAGGTGTCATCCAACGGGGAGAAGGGATTGTAGATAGCATTTGTGAAAGGAAGCTTGGAGGATACATGCTATCTGATATGTCATCCAGAGGTGCATTACTGAATCGTTCGCCTGAGGATATGTCATGCTTTACTAAACATGTGAAAATTTATTATTATCAAGTCAGAATTTAATGCCCATCTCATCAAATCCTATTTAGAACAAGCAATATTCTGTGGCATCCGAGGGTAGCGTGGCACTTGAAACCTTTACGAAATAAAAAAATACACCCCTGAACGAGACCGGAAACAATAAAGAAAAATAATGTACGAAAAGAAGGTAAAATGCCCAAAACTTCCTCCATACACGAGTATCCCTTGCTGGTAAGAAACAATTCAAGAGTCCTCCACCACCTCTCACTCGTCACTCCTATCAGTTTTACACATTGGCCGATTGGTCGCGGTAGATTGCCATAGCCTCCCTCGCTAGGAGGAATTGGCAGCCCACTTACGTCACCTCTCTTCCGGACAAACTACATGTTACATGACGAATCACCTTGCCAGGCATTGCACTCGCAGAAGAGTGTGGTGTAGGGAAGCAAAGGTAACCATGGTCGGCAAATTGCTGCTAGGCCTGGTCCCGGTTTTTTGGCCGTCTCTACCGGGCCCTCCACTTCATTATGTCTGATTCATTGCACTTTCATTTGTGTTTCAACACAATAGCCAGGCTCTGGAGGATTTTTAGGGTGCTTGTTGATCTGGTCCAAGAACCTCCTCGCGTCTCCCCAGCGCACGCCACTTCATCGTCTCTGATTCAGCGTACTTTCCTTGGCGTCGCAGCACGATAACCAGGTCTCTAAGGCTTGATAGGGTGTCAGGGTGATCTGGTCCGAGTACCTTATCGCGTCCCTCAAGTGCACGCCGATACATTGTCTCTGACTCATCGTACTTTTCTTGGTACCGCAGTGTGATAGCCAGGTTGTTGAGGCTTGTTAGGGTGTCGGGGTGGTCTAGTCCAAGGACCTTCTCACGCCCCTCAAGTGCACGCCGATCCATTGTCGCTGATTCACCATACTTTCCTTGGTATTCCAGCATAACAGCCAGGTTGCTAAGGCTTGTTAGGGTGTAGGGGTGATCAGGTCCGAGTACGTTCTCGCGTCGCTCAAGTGTACGCTGGAGCATCGTCTCCGATTCGCCGTACTTTCCTTGGTAGTGCAGCGCGATCGCGATGTTATTAAGGCTTGATAGGGTATCCGGGTGATCTGGTCCGAGTACCTTCTCGCGTCCCTCAAGTGCACGCTGGTGCATCGTCTGCGATTCGCCGTACTTTCCTTGGTACTGCAGCGCGATCGCGAGGTTATTAAGGCTTGATAGGGTGTCGGGGTGGTCTGGTCCAAGGACCCTCTCGCGTCCTTCAAATGCACGCCGCTTCATTGTCTCTGATTCAGCGAACTTTCCTTGGGATTCCAGCGTAATAGCCAGGCTGCTAAGGCTTGTTAGGGTGTCTGGGTGGTCTGGTCCGAGAACCTTGTCACGCCCCTCCAATGCACGTCGGTTCATCATCTCTGATTCGTCGTACTTTCCTTGGATTTCTAGCAACCTAGCCCGGATGTTGACACTTGTTAAGGTGCTGGGGTGGTCTGGTCCAAGAACTTTCTCATACCCCTCCAATGCGCGCCGATTCATGGCCTCTGATTCATCGTACTTTCCTTGGTATCGTAGCGCCAGAGCTAGGTTAACTGGTATTGGTTAGAGTGTCTTGGTGGTCAGGTCCAAG